GTGTGTGTGTGTGTGTGTGTGTGTGTGTGTGTGTGTGTGTGTGTGTATGGCCATATCAGAGGATGAACAGCCACCCGCCCAGGGGTAAACTGTGTCCATGGGTCTCGAAAAGAAATGATTAGTCACCAAAGAAGCCCAACACATACATTTAAACACTCAGTGCCTCCATTGTTCTCCAACCCTCTCCCCTGCCCTCTTTTTCTGTTCATCTGTATAATAGTCTGCATTCATGACTTTTTTTATTTTTAACTCTGTCAGCGTCTCTCTTATTTTTATTTCACTCAGTTTTGGCTTGAACCAAAAAGGGCAGGAAGAGGATTTTCTACAGGCTCTTTTCATTTTTGTTTTCAATGCAGCCCAGATCCAGATTTTGGCCATCATTATGTAGATCCATTTAATGTTGAAACATCTATGAGTCATACACCAAACTAAACTTGGAACGCCTGCTCTTGGTTTCCTGTTCATCTATACCATCCAGTCAAACATGTTTAGTTGCTGCTGTACGTGTGCTGCTGTATACATGACCCATATATGCATTTGGCATTAACCCAGCCTGAAGATGCCAAGCCAAGCACTGCCTCTTAGCAGCAACATCACCGCAGGCTAAAATAAGATCTTCAATGCTAAAACAAGAAGAAAATGAACCAGCTCTTAAAGAAGATTGCCTTCGTAAAAAAATCATAAAGACTGTTTGAACTGATAAAACACAAAAACATGTCTTGAATATTTAAAAATTGAATATACCAGTGAATGTCTGTTCACTTGCTTGAAAAGTTAGCATATGCTTTGTCTTTCCTTGACCTTATTTGACAAAAGTAATTGAATTTGATTACCAACCAAACCAATAGTGCATTTGTCAGCACCTTTGTCAGTTATGCAATGCAGGGTTGGGTGATACTGGCAAATAAAATCATGATTAATTGTGGTATTTAGTTTATAACGATTAGTGGTTTTTGACTCGAAATCAGTTGCCCCTATGTTCTAAAATTAGACTCAAACCATCAATCAAACTAACTTCTTCACCTTAACAGCCACACCACTCATTACCTCCTCCTTCCAGCTCTTACTTTGCCAGTCATAAGGGACGAATTGACTTGAGCGATTCATGCATTCTCAGCTGAGTAGATTTGTTTACAAAATTCATTGGAGA